AGGCACTTTACGGTGTACCGGAAAGTTTCCAGGCGAAACAGTTTCTGAAAAAACATCAACTGAAGTCAATGAGTTTGGTCTAGAGAATCGTGATAAGGAAATAGTTGCAGTCGAAGAGAAGAATTTGAATAGTGAGTCTTTTGAAGAAGAGCAAACTCAAGCATTAGAGTTCTTGAACGATATAAAGGTAAATAATTATCTTTGAGATATGTTTCAGATTTTGTGTGGTTTAACTTCAGGGAATGTTTATATGCGATAGAGTTGTATTGTGTATTACTTAGGTAGTGAATACATTTATGGTTAGTTAGTTGTTTAAGCTTTGATGGTTGTTGTTATGATGATTCTGAAACCATCGAGTCGGCGAGCTTATTAGATTCCGAGATTGTTGCCATTAGGATAATAAAGAGAACACAATGCTTACGAAATCGCTCGTAGAATCTAATTCGGTAACATTTGATCCAACATCATGAATCTAATAAGCTATTGATGTTTTGGGTTTGTTAATGTAGCTGGACTCAAACAACACATATTCAATCCTGCTATATGGGAGTGGCGGAATCGTTGCTCTGTACTTAACTTCTGTAATCGTTGGCTCACTCGAATCAATTCCTCTGGTTAGTACACTCGAGTCGCTTGTTTTTTTCTTCTTTCGAATTTACGGTTTGATATAATCGAATTAACCTTTTGATTTTGATATTTTTAGCTTCCTAAGCTAATGGAAGTGGTTGGTCTTGGATACACACTCTGGTTCACGACTCGTTACTTGCTATTTAAGGTAAGGAATATATATATATATAATTTGCCTTATCAAATCGAGTTTATTATCTTAATCCACAAAACATTTTAATATTTGAACCTAAATTTGCAGAGGAACAGAGAAGAACTCAAGATGAAGATTAGTGAAATAAAAAAACAGGTTATTGGGTCTGATAGTGAGTGAGTAGTTTGTTGTTTTTTGGTGTATGTACAAAAAATAATTGTTCCCATAGTTTTTTTTTTTTTTTTGGATTTCTTCCACTGATCTGTTTTTCGAAAAATTAATAATGTCTGATTGTTTTTTTGATGTGGTTGATTTAAACTTTGTTTATCTTCCATACATTTTTCAAATTAATCGGATGAAGATCTTTTTCACTGAGCTGTTTAAAAAAAAAAAAAAACCTTTATAATGGATTGGGAAAATTTGCTATTAATACAACAAAAAAATTATAATTTACAAACTAACCAAAAAACCTAAATCTTAAGGTCTAGATTGTGCCACATACTCTTTTTTCCCAACTTTTTAATTTTTTTTTGTTTTGGTTATTTATTGATTAATGAGGCAAATTTGAAAAATGTAAATCTCAAGAATTTGAAAGATGTTAATCGTGGAGAATCAGTCAGAGGATGCTAAAAGTAGCAAACGAATGGAGTAATCAAATTTGTACTATTTCCATTTATTATAGCAGATAATTTTTTTATAACAATCTAAAATTAGCAAATGAATAGAAATCATGACATTTGTACTATTTCCTTCACTTGTAACTGTTCTATACGCATCTATTACGGATTACTTCTTGTCTATTTCTTAAAATAGGAAATAAAAACTCTTTATATATTGTAAAAGATTCCATCAAAGAATAGAATATACATGAAAACGAAAAATTTGTAAGAGTTCTATATTTGTAATTAAAAAAAATCTAATCAGACGACTAAAAGAAAAAAACAAGAAAAAGGGTAAAGGGTGTAAAACTTGTTAGCTTCATCACTTTTGTGGTGATCGTCATGATGATTTCAACAGGTAATAAACATTATGACATATGATCGTTTAACCATTTTTTTTGCATTGTTTGTTTTGTATTTGCGTATGACTTCTAAAATAAAACTTGCCATCTTATATTATAACAATAAACATCAAATTCAAACAGAACACAAATTTTTAAAAGAAACATTTTCTTTATCAAATAGACAAATATAATGAGATTGGTTTTTGTTTTAAGAATGCAAGCGCAAACACAATTGACTTAAACAATCCAAGCCAAACAATTATTGGTTTTTTAAAATAATGAATTTTAAAGATCTTAGTAAAACTAAAATATCCATTTTACCAAAACCATTTCAATATCTCCTTACTCATTGATTATTATTGTATCAGCAAAAGGTTGGCGACCTCAATGTAAGCCAAGGCTAACTACAAAAATATGCAATGTACAAGATATCAATTCCTGCCTAGGTTTTTGCCGAGAGCATGACATAAATACTGCAAGATGTATACCTCAAAAAAATGGAGGAGGACATTGCGAGTGCACTGAATGCAATTCAGAAAAGAACAAAATGCGGCAGATGAAACTTCCATGTAGGCCAATGCCAACAACCATGTATCCATGCAATAAGCAAAAGTTACTGTAAAAGGAATGCATTGCGTGTGCAGAAGACAATGCAAAAAAGAAACTAAACCTACGACTTGCATGTTTCATAAAAT